TACACATGCTAGCACAATGCTAGTACACATGCTAGTACACACTATATACATGCTAGGACAATGCTAGTACACATGCTAGTACACACTATGTACATGCTAGCACAATGCTAGTACACATGCTAGTACACACTAGTACATATGCTAGCACAATGCTAGTACTCACACTGGTGCACCCTGGCACACCCATTGGCACACACTATCACACACACAAGTACACTTTGTTCAGAATCCCAGGGCAGAAGGGTCCCCCATAGGGATGCAGTGAGGAAGAAAGAGTGGGGGGGTGCCACAGAGTCCCACAGGGGCTCATGTCCTCCAGTCAAGGGTGTCAGAGTGTCTGAGAGACCACTGGCTTTTCTTTCTTCACCCTGCCTGTCCATTGTTCTTCCCCTTCACATACCATAAAATTCAACATTCTAAAGTACACACTTTGCATTCATAAGGATGTGCAACCATCTCCACTAAGCACTGTCCAGTTCCAGAACACTTCATCACCCTGAAAATGAAATCTTGTCCCCCGTGGTACCCCATCCTCCTCCCTAGCCCCTGGAAACCACTGGTCTACTTCTATGGATTTGCCTATTCTGGACATTTTGTCTAAATGGAATCACATACTATGTGGTTCTTGGTGACTGGCTTCTCTCACCAAGCGTGAGGTCTTCAAGGTTCATCCACGCTGTAGCAGCTGCCAGAGCTCCCATCATGTTAAAGGCTGAATAATGTCCATTGTGTGGGTACGCCACGCTTTCTTGTCCATCATCCACTGATAGACGTTTGGGTGGTTTCCACGTTCTGGCTGTTGTGGATACTGGTGCTGTGAACATTCTCATACAAGTGTTTGTACAGACTTGTTTTCGTTTCACTTGGGTGCATAATGTAGGCGTAGAATCAGTGTGTTGTATCTTAACTGTGTTTAAGTTTTCGAGAAAATGCCGGGCTGTTTCTCACAGTGGCTGCCCCATTCACAGGGCCAGCGGTGTGTGAGGCTCCAGTTCCTCTGGGTCCTTGCTCACCAGTGATCCTCCCCGTCTGTGTTTGCAGAGCCTCCTAGTGGGTGTGAAGTGGCATTGATTCACATTTCCCTGAATGATGTTGATCACCCTTTCCTATCCTTGTTGGCCGGCTCTGTATCTTCTCTGAAGAAATGTCTGTTCAAGTCCTTTACTGATTTTTTAATTGGGTTATTAGTATTTTATTATTAAGTTGTAAGAATTTTCCATATATTCTGGATACTAGACTGTTGTCAAATATGTAACTTGAAAACATTTTCTGTCATTGTGTTGTCTTCACTTTCTTGATAATGTAC